CAAAGACAGACACAGTGGGAAGCCAGCAGTAATGTTTTCACATCATGTGGCTCCAATCCAACTCCTGTCAGCTGTGCTATCCAGCAGCCTCTGTCACGGACGACGATGGATCCGTGACTTCTCAGGAATCGGATGAGGAGTCAGACGACGACTCAGTCAGACTGCACCCTGATCTCCCGAGGCACGTCCAAGGTCACGACGAAAGATCAACAGCCTTCCAGCGAACCGTCACCGAAGCATTCAAGATGGGTCGCGATCTGAACAAGATAGCTCAGACACCGGTGGTCGATCATGACTACACATCCTTGCGTGGCACTATCGATTGGGGCACATCTCATTTGATAGAATCAGGAAACTGGCACAAAGAGGAGCACTGTCGTCGTCCCTCATCAATGCCAGAGCACCCAAATGTGCAAGCTGTATGTTCGGCAAGGTGACTAAAAGGCCCTGGAGAACTCGAACTCCAGTCAACCAGAACACCGATACGATTTCGACCAGACACCCTCTGGCATTGTCAACACTCCACCTGAAACTGCGACCCCGTGTGATTACAAAGTGAGACCCTATACATTTCAAATGACGGGGTATGAGAATGTCATACAGCAACAGCAGCCAGAAACACACACATCAGTCACCACACTCATTCCTTCCTTGGACGCCTGGGAACAGCATCTACTCCGGGACTTACACTTTCTGGTGCCCGAAACTTAGGTTTGGACAGCTCTCGCTACGAAAGCTTGCATTCTGGCCTGTGATGGGTCAGCTCCAGATGGTAAGGGATCTTTTGGGTGGATCCTCAGCGACCCCCAAGGTACCCGCTTGGCTCAGTGTAACGGTCCGGCATTGGTTACAAACTGAACTCCTACCGAGCCGAAGGATACGGGATGTTGTCCGGCTTTCGATTCCTCCACCACATGACCACAATTCACTCCGCCGACACATCAATCCACAGACATGGGTGCTTCTGTGATAACAAATCAATGGTTGATGTTACAGTGAAATACTCCAAATTCGACAGGATCTTTCCAAACAGTACCTTATCCGCTGAATGGGACATTATCGCCAAAATTTGACAACCTCTACAACAAATCCAACCGTCCACTTCCATCCCTAAAATCAAACACATCAAAGGCCATCAGGACGATGAGAAACCGTATGATGAATTAACGATGAAAGCCCAACTCAATGTCGACGCCGACAGCCTAGCCAACCAATGGTTGGTGGACAACCCAAACTTCAACCACACACAAGTCCCAATTCTTCCAACGAGTGGTTATCAGCTGCACCCCGTCGGTAAACGTGTCAACAAATACCACCCCAAATATTCCATTGCATGCACATCCTGTGGAGCCCCAGAAGAAAATAGAGAACACGTCCTGAGATGCCCCAGGCGACAATCAGAATGAACGGCATGGAAGAAGGCACTCAAGAAATACACCGACAAGCACAACACTCACCCAATGCTCCAAACACTTCTTCTCTCAGCACTCCAAAAAGTACTCGATGGACAAGATCCCACAGGAATTGAATACGATGACAGTGTTGCCGATATCGCAACGCCCAAGCAGCCATCGGTTGGGATCAGCTCCTCAAGGGACGACTATCCAAACAGTGGGCGCAACGCCAGGATCGACACCTCAAGGAATGCAATCTCAAAACACATCGGAAAAATGGCCAAACCTGGCTCACAGGGATTATTCAAGAATTGCTCACCCAGTGGTTCGAACTCTGGGAGGCCAGGAATCATGATCAGCATGGTAAAAAAAAATGAAGTTTTATTTTAAAGGCTACACCTCGTCAGACGATCCGCTGAACGGTGCCGTGACGAACCCATATACCTCAGGCGCACGAGGGCGCCCACTTAGGATGGGCCTAGTGTAAGCCCCCCACCGGAGAAATTGAACAAAACTCCGGAGGGTGCTATATGACTAACTATCTACGCTAGGCTAAATCGCCCGCTATTGCTATGGGAATCCCGCATCGGCGCATAGTTACCCTGAGTGGGAAGGCTGCTCGCGTGCATGCTCATCCCTCATTGCTTTGTCAACAACAGGAAGCCAATTGGCCAGCCATGCTTTGATATCCCCCGGCCCTTTGGCCATCTGTTCCTCCAGGGGTCATTTGAAGATGGTATCAAGGAGATGTTCTGGGAGCAGGTCCGCTTTTTCATACAGGAGCTCAACCTCTCGTTGGAGCTGTTCGTGCTTCTTGCGCCATTTCTGTTCCTGATCCCGGCCGTGCCTGGCGGCATTGCGGTCCTCCCAGAGATTCCACCACTGCTGGATCAGAACAGAAGCCAGGTTGGTGACCCAGAGCTGCCCGGTCTTGGCGGGCTCCTGGGAGCCGACCCGATGCAGATATGCATCTTGGTGCTTAGCCCAGTGCTTGGACAATCGTCCTCTCAGGAAATTATCCCAACCAATGAGATTTTGAGTGTCAACAAGGTCCCTATACCGGTCTGGGTAATGCCACGGGTGTAGGAATCGATCTTCAAAGTGATATTGAAGCCCATCAAGAACAATTTCCAGGAGGAAGGGGTCTGTGGAGTCCTTGCGCAACTTTGTACTGATTGCTCGTTGCTTGGTTCCTCGCCACAAATCCACGTCGACATGCGGGCATCTGTACACATGGGCCTCCGTCTCATGATCACCGCCGCAACGGGGACAGTGGTGATCATACTTGGGGTCGCCTCGGTGGATCCGTTTCCCAACTGGCAACAATTGAAATAGAAACTTCACAATTGTTGGTTTGTGGATTTCATGTCGATTGACAGCACGACCATGTGCTGTCCAATCAACCAGTGCTGGTGTGTCCTCGTCCCAGTCAGGGTTCAGTTTGACAATGTGGTCGAACAAGGGCTGGTCGTTCCTGAGATGCCGCAGTGTTCTGGGAAGCTTGTATGTGCATGTGCCTTTGGGAAGGTGCACCTGGGCCAAGTTGGCGGGAAATCGGAGCACCTTGGAGTGGTCCTGTTGCATGTGTCGGGTCGTGTAGCTGCCTGCCAGTTTGTCGGCTCTGCAGTTCAGTTGAGCTTTCAAAGGTAGTGTTTCGATGGCCTTGTGCTTGTCCTGGTGCGATTCGATGTGCTCCATCTTGGGCACGGTGACGGCAGCCCGAAACGAATCCTCGATCTGCTGCAAGACATCCCAGTCGGACTCCAAGGAATCATTGGGGTACCAGCCCTCGTAATCCAGACAGCCAGCACACTTGTTGGTAACGGATTCATTGTCGCACAGGTGCACATAATTCTTCAAGCTGGTTCGGTCGTAGAACTCCAGCAATTGCCGCAGAAGGCAAGTAGGCGATAGAATGCCATAAGCTTCCGCCCTGTAGGAAGTCGGAACCATACCAAAAATGGGACCAGAGCAACGAAGCACAATCTGACCGCGATTGTCTGCCAGAACCCAAGCGAAATTCGCCTTGCCTGCGTCAATGTCTGCAGCCCCATCACTTGCCACCCAGAAGGGCATGGCTGTGACAATCTGCAGGACTGAGTAGGCGTCCACCATCCATTCAAGCTCGTCATAGAGAGCTGTTTCCCAAGGCTCCAAGGTGGCAAGGAAATCCTCAAATGTTGTTGGTGTGGGTGGTAGTGGACGAGCAGGAATGCCTGCTGTGAAACCACTACCAACAACCACTGTCTCACGTTTGTTGAAGAGGGTCAAGTCTAGGACTCGCCGCTTTCCAGAGTCTGGTTGAACAGAGGTGCAGGATCGGGGGAAGTAGGGATCCAGTGGCACAGAGTTGTGTAGGTCTCATCTTCGAACTCCCAGCGATGAACTGTCCGTTCCTTGTTCGGAACTGGATGTTGGAACATCCAGAAGTCGGACTCTTCATTATCAACTTGCTGATAGACGACGTTGGCATCGACTTCGTAGAAGAACCTGTGGCGCATCCGGAGTTTGTCAGCAGAGACGAGCCACCTCCCCAGGGGTACATCCAGAGTCAGATTCGGAGCGAAGAGGGATAATGCTTTCCTCCACAACCACCAAGTCCTTGGATCCTTGGGTCGATCTTGAAACCTTTTGAAGTAGATGGTGCGAGGCATCAGAGGACTGGAAAAGCCATGCCAGAACTCCTCCCGGATGTATGTGCCACATGCTATGGTGATGTCAGCTACCGTGACAACTTGGAAGTAAAGACGGACATAGTTGATCCGTTTCAGATCTGCCTCGGAGAAATTTCCATACCACCCAACCCAATCCATAATGTAGGAATCGTGCTCACGCTGCAATGGGGGAATGTGAGGGTCGTGCACTTCAATCGTACCTCCAACAGAGTGAAGGAACCGTCGCATGCATTGAAAAAGCCCGACTGGGAGATGACAATCGATTTCGAGATCCTCAAGGATGGGCCGGCCAATTCCGGCATGGAATTGCAACCATGCGTATGTGACTTCACTTAGGTCTCCAATGTCGGTGCACCTTATCCTCCAGTGCTTTTTAAAAGAACTGCTGGATGACCCCGATTCCCTGCTTGTCGGCGAGTCGAAACATTTCGATACCCACCAACTTCCAGGAACCATAGCAAATCACTTTTGCAGTGTTCACTCTATACCCCATCGTCCCCCACATCTCTCGTCCCCTACTCAGTACTGGAGTACCACCCCGAACTGTCGGCATGTTCTACAAGGCAATTGTCCAGTCCGTCCTACTATTCGGCAGTGATACTTGGACAGTTACACCTGCAATTCTACAAACTCTGCAAGGTTTCCACCATCGCATTGCCCGCAAGATTACCGGCAAGATGCCTTTCCGACAATCCAACAACAACAACTGGACATACCCACCGATCGCAGACGCCCTCCAGGAAGCGGGGCTGTACCCCATTGAGGAGTATATCCGCCGCCGACAAAACACTGTCGCCCAATTTGTGGCGACCAGACCCATCCTTGACATCTGCCAACACACTACCCCGGTTCCAGACCTCGATGAAGATGCCCCAACCACACCCCACCCAAGTCCAGAATGTACTACTGGTGGAATCAGCCCACTCGTACCATGCCCGCACCAGACCTGTCCGAGTACGAACAACCAGAGTCCACACCATCTGCTACACCGGCACCATCCACAAGACCCTCCCTGCCACCAACCCCAGCAGCACCGACTTCAACAACCAATCGCCGCCAAACCACTGGCCTACCCCGAACAAATCAACGTTCCCCACTGCACCGCCCTCTGCTCCACGCCGAAACTCTACATATCCAAACAGCTCTCAACTCCTCAGGCGACTTGGCAGATGAGGTTCTGCGTTTCGGCCCCGACAGTGTCTCCAGAGAGTCCCTTCACACTCTCAAACCCGGCAATTGGCTGACCGACGAAATCCTTCATAGCTACATTGGTCGACTCCTCCATCGTCACTCGCTTCAAGCTGCTCTCCTCACCACCTACCGACCCAGTGCATACTTCAAATCTTTCTTCATGTTGACCTTGCTACAAGAGTTCTCCCCCGACCCACGACGCAACAACATCTACAACTACGCCAGAGTATCCCGGTGGCACAAGCGCCTTCCAAATGAGGACCTCTTTCAACTCCAACACCTCCTCATCCCCATTAATGTCAACCGAAGCCACTGGATCTTGACTGTCATTTACCCACAAGACCTCCGAATCCAAGTCTACGACCCATACCATACCCCCCAACCAGGATACCTCCATGCAACGTTTCGATTCGTCCAAGACGAGTATTTCCGATTGCACGGCACTGCACTACCCAACCACCACCAATGGACCCTCCAACCCAATGACACCTCTGCTCCCAAACAGTCCAATGGCTGGGATTGCGGAGTTTTCATCCTTGCATATGCCGACTGCATCCTCCGCAACACCACCCCCACCTTCCAGGAGCACGACCTCCTCTTATACCGACAATGGATTGCACTTTCTCTGTTGGAAGGAGCCATCCCCCTTGGATGACCCCATAATGCAACAATCTATGTAGTAGGTTTCCACCTGTAGTGGAAATGTCTGCGAGCCTCCCCCTCTAGTCGGAGGGAGGTTTTAGAGCAGATAGTAGTAACTTATTAGTAGTAACAGTTCCTAGGTGCTGAAAGGCGAAGGGGAGCTCTGCCACTAGTGGCATCTCGTGTTACCCAACCCCTCTCAGCACCGGTGGAGATTAACAAACAAACAAACCCCATCTTCTGAAGTGCAGTAACCGACACTCGAAAGGAAGATGCTGCGATAGAACATGTTGGCTTCCCGTCGATTCAAGGGGGACCCTTTCAGAACCCTGGTATAATGGGTGCATTTCTTGATCAGAGCTGCTTTCTGTGCTGTGAGATTTCCAGCCGGGCCTTGGAAACATCCCAGTGACTTGTGATCTTTGTAGTTGTCGACTGGTTTGATCGGCGTGACTATCCCGTCAGTGGACTTCACCTTGATTGATGATGTAAAGTCAGTCCCCGAGACCAGCTTCGGTTCGCCACTGGATCTGAACTCATAACGGAGATGATGAAAGGAACACTTCGAAGCCTCAAGCTTGCCACCTGACGACCATAGAAGATCATTCCACCAATGTGCGTCTTTTGTTGCCTTGTCCACCAGTTCCTGCACTGAGGGAATAGTATTGGTAAGAAAGCAATTCGTTCGAGAATTCGTATCATCCACAAACCCTGTCATGAACAGCTTGACCCGCTTTGATCCATCTGGGCTGGCAAAGGTGGCGCCAGTCGCATAGGGTTCGAAACAATCAAATAGTGTGCTCGAAATAAACAGCCATAAGGCAGGGGAGTTACCAGCGCCTTGGCCAGACCCGTGCCAGGGATCCTCCTCCGTATGACCGAGAAACGTGAATGACGTTCCCAGAGTGGTCTTGATATGGTTTGTTTGTTTGTCACAATGATTAGTAGTTGTTATTTTTGTCTACTGCGCCGAGGGCTTGCTTTTACTTCACTCAGAATGACAGGGGGCACTACTGGCCCCTTGTTCGAGTAGAAGGGTCACGGGCTCGCTAAGGCCCCTAAGGGTGTTCCATTCAATGTTGGTTTCTGTAGGAGTGCACGCTAAGGCCTTCCTTGGAGTGTGGCGTGCTAAGGCCATGTTCTAATGTTGTTGTTTGGTTCTGAGGAGGTGGTTCGAGGGATGGGAGATGGAGAGGCTAGAGTCGTCCCGTGGCACACCATTGATATAATCTTGAATGCCTTCTGTCTTCAGTGATTTGGTGGGCGCGTCTAGTTTCTCTATCGCGTATAGTGTGTATCCCTTGGAGCCAGGACTGTTTGTAGGGCTTGGGTTTGGTGAGAAGGGAAATGAGTGAGTGTTTGAAGTAGTTGTGATAACAGGAGGGGAGTCCCCTGGTACCTTTGATATACTCAGTGGCAATTGCTTGGTGTAACAGGTTGAGGGCTAGTTTCTGACGGGGCATTTGGTCGTCGTGTAGAATCTTGTTCCGATGTTCCCATAAACTCCAGGCCATCATGTGAGTTTTGTGAAGGAGTTTGGAAGTCCAAGTGGTACCAGTGATGGAGTATCCCTCGCGTTTGTAGAAGGAATCCATATACTGGGCAAAACGAATGGAGGGGAGACCTTCCAAGACGTTCTTCCATCCGATCTGGTCTTGGGAGACGATAAGTTGAGTAAGGGTGGCATCCCACTGGGGGTTGGGGAGCAATGGGAGGGAATTGCGCCAACTGTTCAGGCGGTCAACTAGTGCGATGTGAAGGTCAAGGGGGGTGTGAAGCTCTCCAAAAGCAGAGGCCAGCTCTAGCAAGTGAGTGCTCCATACTTCATCAGATTCCTCAGCATGACATTGTAGGACATGAGTGGTGTCTTCTGGTGCTCCGCAGCGTGGGCAATGGTCATCGTCCTGTTTTTGCCAGTGTTTGAGGGTAATGCCCACTCCACAGTTCTCAGAGGCGTGTTTGGTACACCACCTGCGCATGCCCAATGGCAGAGTTTTCATCAGCTTTCCGCATACTTCCCAATCGACCAGCTGGAATGTTTCAGGGGACAGTCTTGCAGGGGCAAGGTAGTGGTCAGAAGTCCAGTATTCTTCAATGGCAGGGAGGCAGATTAGGTCTAACAACGCTTGTCGGTGTGGTGAAGCAAGTTTCCGCTGATTGTGCCAAAGTGACCAACCTTCTCCGCCGATGAGGTGATGGGAGGGAGACCCAAATGGGTTCGCATTGACAATGGCTGTCCAGTACTCTTTGGCTTTGGCGTCCATGCGCACATTGAGAGCTTCAAGGGGGCTCAGTTCGTGGCCTGTGTGGTCATCCATATGCCCGTCGATGTGTTCCGTCTCAAATATTACATTGCTTTGCTGGATGTGCATCCATAGGGCATGGGTCAAGTCAAATGATTGCTTGTTGGGGTCTGGGACGAATCCGTTGTCAAACACCAGTAAGGCAGATGAGCTATCGCATCCAACCGTAACCTTCCCATCAGTGATCCCAAAGAGGTCACAGATAAGATTGGTAATGATGACGATCGCAAGTAAGCCAGAGAGTTCACACCGGTAAGAGTCACCGTCATGTAATGGGCCTGGAACGATGTTGACACTAGTAAGTTCCATTGCTGGGTTTGTGCCTACTAGGATAGACGCAGAGGTGCCAATTCGGTTCTTGAGAGAACCGTCACTCACAGCCACACAGGTGCCTTCACGGATGCACTCAGAAAGGTGTTGCCCTCCATCTGAGACTTGGAAATGATCAATAGCCCATTTTAAGTCTGGAGGGAGGTGGGTGATGAGGCTCAGGAGGGTGTCAGTGGGATGTGGTGGAGTTGGCGGGAGGTGTATACCAGTGTTCCTAAGTAGGAGTTGGGTTGAGTTGTTCCCTCGGAGAACACTTGCCCGAATGAGGTTGGTAGGAGTATCAAGGGCTGTGATCAAGCCGTGCTGGTGATAAGTTGATGGTGATAAGTGATGTGGTTCCCAAAGAGTGGTATTGGTGGCTGTGATGTGGTAGAGGTTTGATGATTCTGGTGGTCTTGATATGGTACTGGGCCTGTTCCAGATTCATTCCATTCACTTTACAGACACTTACTGGCATACCCATCTTGCGGCTTGCAAGACTGGCAATGTACATGAGAATCCTGTCGTAGCACGCAGCTGCGTCATTGTCATTCTTGATTAGGGGGTGCAGGCAACAACGTGATACCTCATACTCTAAGTCCTCCATATAACTGAGATCAATTGCTGACCTCCCTGGAACGGAACCAAATTGTCTTGTGTTGATCAGCCCTTGCTTGGAGGCATGGTGGAGGAGTTCGCGCCACTTCACTCCTAGAAGCAGGTTATAGTCGGCTTCGAAGATATGGATGACTCGCAGACGATGGATTTTGCAACCACCCTCATCCCCAAGGATGAGGGTATTGACGATTTTGTTCCATCGCGAGTAGGCAAAGCCCTGTTCCAGAGCACAGTTGAGGAGCCGAAAATGGGCCTGCTTGATCTTGGTTTGAAAATCTTCAAGCTCCTTTCCTTCCTCCGATTCCGGGTCAAGACTGTGTTCGGCAAAGAGAGATTTCCAATGACCAAGATGTTGTCCTGAGGGGGAGGTTGTAGTGCGTTCATTCCAGCTCTTGAGTTTCCCATTGAACTGCTCCTCTGTCAATGTTGCTGGAATCTCACCATCACAAGCCCGAGCCAGTTGCCTGAGGAGGACTGCTGTAGCAACTGACATTTCGAATGGGCAAATGTCGTATTCTCCATCGAGGATTGCATCGGCGGTAGCAGTACTGGCGGAGAAGTCTGTATCGGTCCGCAATGTGGAGTCGGATCGGAATTCTGTCTCCTCAGCCTGCCGGAAATGCTTTTTGAGGTGAGCCTGGAGATGGCGTTCAATTTCCTCGGGATCCTCAACATACATCCAGTCTTGACACTGTTTTGGCGGCGCGGTGGGGTCTCGGGGGACTTCCAAGGCTGTTAGTCCCGCACCATGACATTTACCCCGTGCGTGTGCACACTTTTGCCATGCTCTCCGAGTGGCTTCAGCGTTGCGCAAGCGCTTCATCACATTAGCCAACCTCGTGTCTCCTTCAGACTCGTATTGTGCTTGGAGTTCCATCTGGTACTCTTGGCGCAACTTGTGTGTTCTCCACTCATCCACCTCCGCTGCACGAAGTTCCCTGCGGGCCTGCTTCTTTCGTTTCTTGCAGTCTTCCAACGAAGTGGGTAGTTCAAAGGCTGGATCAGAGATCCGCTCCAAGCGGAGACGAATCTTGCACTACGCTAAAAGCTAGTGTAAAGATCTTTCGAGTGTTTTGAGTTTGAGAGAATGAAAGTTATGAGAGAGATTAGAAAGCTATGAAAACTAATCAACGAGAGAGATCACCATCAAAGGATCGTAGATCTGGTCTCCCGCGGGAGACTATAAAGTGTGATAGAGTAGGTTGCGGTAGTAATCCTACGTATCTCCACGATCCTAAAACGGAACGCGTGGAAGATTCGTCTAGCATGGATCTAGTAGCGTGGAAGTACTCCACGCTGGCTAAATATCTAGAGCGATGTTTCATCATCAACCTAGTATGACTAGAGCGGTCATTGAGAACCCTGTCTCAAATGACTATTCACGAGAGACTCAGTCATGAGTTGAACTCAAACCCTATCTAGGATCGAGTCGCGAATAAGGCTAAGAGCCGTGTATTGCATTCGCCCCCTGACAAGGGTCACAGAAGGCGCGACAGCAGTCGGACAAGGAGAACATATGATTTAAAGTGTGGGGCACTCTCATGAGATTGGATGTAGACATGTGCGTCGCACGATGGCAATCCTACAAGGGGATCAGGCCTTGTATGGGTGTATATACCTTATGTTCCAAGTCTGGTAGACTGTGCCGCCATTGGCGGTAGCATGTCGGAGCCGTACAGTGCCATTGTCATTGACTCGGTCTATAGTGTAAGGACCTTTGTACTTTGGCTGACCGTACTTGCGGTGCTGATACTGTTGAATCATCACGGTATCGTTGACATTGTATTGATGAGGGACACGCGTCGCGTTTTCCCTATCGTTGTTCTGTTGGATTAGTCGTTGGCGACGTTCCTTGATGTACTTCCAGTTGGCTTCGAAACGGACGTTGTGAATCGCGTCACGATTGAACACGAGCTGCGCAGGCGTTGCACGCAAGGTGGTATGAATCGTGGCATTCATTGCAAAGCGAACCGCCGTGAGGACTCCATCCCAGG